ACTCTTACCTGCAGTAGGAGATTTTGGGGGGAAAGTGTACTATTTAAGTATCAGCAACGTGGGTCTTGTTGGTAAAAATCCCTATCACTGACATGCTCCCATATTACTAATTAATTTATGGAATTGGTGCAGCATCCGGTCATAAACAGTAGTCAAAAATTTTCAGCAACATGGTTCTTGTTGCTGAAAATGATTTTCAGCAATAAGAACCATGTTGCTAAAAATAAAAAACACTTTTTATGGAATTGGTGTAACATCCGGTCATGAATAGTAACCAAAAAATTTCAGCAACATGGTTCTTGTTGCTGAAAATGATTTTCAGCGACAAGAACCATGTTGCTAAAAGTAAAGAACACTTTTTGTTAAAAGATGTACTATTTAAGTATCAGCAACATGGGTTTTGTCGGTGAATATTCATATCACCGACAAGCAATTTCATGTTGCTGATGCTTAGTTGCTGAAAACAAGAATTTTAGTAGTGTTTGTTTGATCCGTGTGTATATTTGGGGGTGTACTTACTTAAAAGCAACATTCAAAAGGACTGGTGCTGCCATCCTTTGTCCCAAAAAATAAACCTAACCCATTATGTACTTCTCTCCAGCATGATTGCGAGAATCCTAAGCTAATAAAAAAAAAAATTTGTTGCTTGTTTAAAGTTTGTACGTAGCGCATTTTGTGGGGGTCCATTGTGCTCTATAATTTGTCTCAAAAATAGAACTACATATAGCTAAAAAAAATGAAAATGATATTGTGTGTGTGTTTGTAGGTCATATGCATGATTTAAAGTCTTGGGACAAGCATATAGATTAAAAAAATTAATCTTCTCAAATATATCAAATTAATGTGTAACAAGAGCATGTTCTTTTTCAAAATTATACACAAATCGATTAAAAATACCTTAATTATCAAAAAATAAATAAATTAATTCTCAGAAATTCTTCTTTCACATGAGATAATAATACCAAGATTGAGGGATTAAATGGTTAATAATGAGGTGAAGGGTGCATGTGAGATGCAGAACTACTGCAAAAATCCGGACTATAGGCTGTCTCATATTAGGGGTTCATGAAAACGTGGTAGTACGGTCATAGGACAAGGTTAGGTGCGCGTGGGGCTTGCCGGTGTGGGGCGTGGGTCTGGTGTGGCTATTGGCCTGGACGAGTTGTACACAGCTGTCTACAGTCATTTTCGAGGAGGACCTCCCTTTATTTTCCCTCTTTAACCTTTTCTTCTTCCTTTCTTCTCAATTTTTTTTTTTTTCATTTCTCATTATATAAAATTTTGAATATATATAAAACTAAAATTTCTCGGCCCTACAAAATATTTGTTTTTTCACTCCTCTAATTAATGTCAGTTTGGTGGGTAGAGTTTGCAGGAATTCAAATTATAAAATTGGCATTCATAATTTTTCCTTCTTAAATATACTTAGTTAATGCAAAAGATGCCTCTAAAAGTGACCTCAAACTCAAAGTGGATTAATCTTGAACGCATAATTCCTTAACAAGTCAAACAAAAAAATCTCATTGATTAAAATAGAGAAGATGTGAGATATTAAAACTCTTAGTACGAGATTCAATCCTATCTGAAAAGTAAATGTGTGATGTAGCGTTTGTATGGCTTCATTCCTATCTACTACATAGTTAAAATTAAAAAATTTAATAATTTTAATAAAATAGTGTAAGGAATTTTTTAATTTATGTTTTAACTTTTATCAAATGTAGTATTTTTAATTAATTTTATATAAATTTTTATATTAGATTCAATTAAAATAAAGTATAAAATGTAAAATTAAAATATAATATAATATTTATACTTAAAATTTCAAAAAAAAGTATATGAATTTGATTTGAAAATTTATATTAAATTAATTATAAATTTTGTAATTAATAAAATTTGATGATACAAGTTAGATAAATTTATAGTGTAATATAACTTGAATTATACTAAATTACATTATATTAATTATCAAAAAAATAGACTTTAAATTATAGATCTACTCTCCTTTTTATTTTTTTATTTTATAATTTAATATAACTAAAACTATAAAATAAAATTTTTAATTTTTATATTTAAATGCGTTATTTTAATATTAAAGCCAAAGTTACGTAAGGAACATTATTTTACATTTGAGGATGTAACGCAAACTCACTGTAGATGATGTAAATGTTTTTTTTCGAAAAAGACTGAAATAATAACTTAAGCGATTTAGGCGGTGAAGTCGGTTATGGTTGTTTAGCAAAAAAAGGAAGCGTGACCGGCACGTGGCGACGAGTTTGAGGGAGCAGTTAGGGGGCTGCGAGTGGTGTTCCGATTTTTGGACAGACCGCCTGCTTGTCGTTGTCGTTTTCTGCGCCAGCTCAGCTCCGCCGTGCGTCCTTTTCCTTTGTCATTTTCAAAATTAAATTAAAAAAATAATCAAATATGGTCTCCAGCCTGGCTCAGTCAAACTTCCCGTAACCGTACATTTCACACCTCTAATTTCTTTTCAAAAAGAATATTTTATTAGAAAATGTGATAAAGATAATTTTTTTATATTATTTTTTGATATAATTTTTACATATAATTAATTAAAAAATATATTTAATATTATAAATTTTATCTGAATTAAAAAAATTAATTATTTAAATAATACCTTAAGTTATATAAATAAAATAAAATAATTATACAAAAATTATTTTTCTATTTTATTTTTGCTTTTATTTTTTTTTGTCAGATGAGATAAGATTAGTCCAGTAGTCCCCGTCATGAAACCCAACGTTTCGTTTTTGAAACGTACCTAAACTTTTTTTATTAACCTCCTCAACGGTCGGTTTTAACTCTTAAATTCCCGACATTTTAGGGAAATCAGCGCCTTGACAGTTTAACTGCTACAGTTTTGCCTTCTTTAATACTAGTAGTAAAAATTTTAATCTTAATTAAAGCAAAATTAATAAAAACAGTCTGACTGTTTTTTTTTTTTTTTTTGAGGGAAAAACAGTCTGACTGTTAGATCAATGTTAGATGTCAAATTTAGACTTTGAATTTTGTATTTTGAATACTTGTAAGGATGTTTTATTTTGTAATTTAGTATATTTTAAACAGTTATTTTTAATACTTTTTAATTCATTTTATCTTTAAACTATATAAATTACACTTATGTTTACTCTCGATGAAATGATTCAATGGTTAAAAATATGAGATTTCAAATGAAAAGTCTCAAGTTTAAATTTTAAATAATGTGAAAAGAGATTAATGAAAAAAAAAGAAATATCTTTTTTTATATAATTTATCATTATTAGATATACCAAAAACATATAAATTACACTTTTAAAATAAGTTTTGAGTTAAAAATGAAAATTTTTTTCATCTTTTAATTTACCTTATCTATATATTATGATATTCAAAATTAAAATCTCTAACTTCTAACAAAAAGAAATTATTAATAAATTATTTAAATAATTAAGTATTACATTTCTTTTGTTGTTATATAAATTAGGTGGTGATGTAGCTCTTATTTTATTTAAAATTTTGTTTTTCTATTTGTTAAAAACGTGTTTGTTATAATAAATAAATTTCTTTAGTTAGTTAGATAAATAATTATTTGGTATAATAATTAAAATTTAACAAATAATGACAACGAATAATGATAATAAATAGTAGGTTGTGGTAGCGCCATAACGATAGTAGACAATAAGTTATAGTTAATGAATAATAAATGATAAATAATAAATTCAATTAATATAATTATTTAATTAAAATTATTGACGACTACTTCCAAACCACCATACCGACCGGATCCAAAATATGTAGAGTTCATCGTATAAGTAATTTTAATTTAAAGTTAATCATGTATCATTATCACATCAACCAAAAATTATCATTTTAAATTGAGTTAATATCAATCTCTTCCCTCAACTGACAGGAGAAAAAAATTTTCTGTAAAGTTGATGACAAAACAGATACTAAAAATAATTAAAAACAAATATTCAGAAAGAAAAATTTAAGGCTAAGTCTTAAAATCAAATAAAATCAGGATGGTCGTGAATCAGGCGAGCAGAATTATCGCAACCGCCGCACGGAATTATTTTTTTAAAGTAAAAAAAAAAATTAAATGAGGAGGGGCTTTTATACGTGTAAGCTGGGGAAGCGAGAAGTTGACGCGTGGCAGTTGACAGCTGTGTTCTCGTAACTGCCTTGCCTGGAAGAATCCTCCCACTTTCCCCCCGCCCAACCGCTCTAACCGGTCACTGCTACCGGCTCAACCAGTCATCCTTATCTCTTCACATATATATAAACCTCATAGCTTCCTTCATCTTCTTCCTAAAAACAGACGGTGAGGCTCCGTCTTCACCACTTTACGCCGACGGAAAAAAATCAAACCTTCTTTTTTCTTTTATTTTTTCTTTTTTTCTGTTCAAAAGTAGTTAATTTTTATTTATTTAGAGGTAGTTTTTCGGTTTTCTCCATGGCTTCTTCGACGAGAGATGTCGATCGGATCAAGGGTCCGTGGAGTCCTGAGGAAGATGAAGCCTTGAGGAGACTGGTTCAAAACTACGGTCCTAGGAACTGGTCTCTGATCAGCAAATCGATCCCTGGTCGATCGGGGAAATCATGCAGGCTCCGTTGGTGTAACCAGCTTTCGCCAGAGGTCGAACACCGCCCGTTCACCTCAGACGAAGACGACACTATAATCAAGGCTCATGCCCGGTTTGGAAACAAGTGGGCTACCATCGCTCGCCTGCTCAATGGTCGTACAGATAACGCCATTAAAAATCACTGGAACTCCACGCTCAAGAGGAAATGCTCTGTAGTGACGGATGACTTGAACGATGATTCCAATAGGCAGCAGCGGCTCAAAAGGTCTGCCAGTGTCGGCACGGGCACTAGTGTATCGGCTCTGTACTTTAACCCGGGCAGCCCATCTGGATCGGATTTGAGTGATTCGAGCTTACCCGGTGTGGCTGCCTCACCGGTTTACAGACCCTTAGCTAGAACAGCCTCCCTCGTCCCTCCTAATCATCATATTGAGACGGCATCATCTACAACTGCAGATCCGCCTACATCACTCAGCCTCTCACTGCCCGGATCCGATTCGAGCGAGGTCTTGGATCGCAGACCCTCAAATGGGTCCAACCAAGTTTTGAACCCGACCCACGTGACAACACCTGCTCCGGCGCCGGCTGTACCTTTGCCAGTTCCGCAAGTGGTTTTGCAGAATGGTGAATTGGGGATGGAAAGGCAGTTTTTCAGCGCAGAGTTTTTGGCGGTGATGCAAGAGTTGATCAGGAAGGAGGTGAGGAACTACATGGCCGGAATTGAACAGAACGGTTTCTGCATCCAAACAGATGCAATCAGGAATGCTGTGGTGAAGCGAATTGGAATTAGCAGGGTCGAGTAATTTGGTAGAGAATCAAGTGATTATGTTGCGTCTCAGACTCTCAGGTAATGATCGGACTGAGTTGACTCAGGACTGAATCCGAGTTAGAGGGAACAAATGCAGAGAGAAACAAAAAGAAAAAGAAATGTTAACGAAGAAAATCTTTAATTTCCACCGTTTAGCTTCTCTTTTTTCAGGTTTTAGTTAATTTAAGCTCAAAGAAATTAATGCTATTGTAGTGTACAGGGATAGAACGGGGAGGGAATGAAATGAAGCAGAGAAAAAGTGTTCTTAAGAGGGTTTTTGGTGATGAAGTGAGTGGGAAAAAAATGAGGAAGAAATTACCATAAAATATGAAAATGAAACCCAAAAATGAAGAAAAACAATCTTTTCCTCCATGAATTGTTTTACTAAAAAAATGGATCTCTGAAAATTATAGTTGGTTAAATCTTAAATGGTATGGGACAGAACTGTTTTTGGTTGCATGCATCTAAAATTGATCTTAAAAAAAAAAAAGGAGAAAAAGAATAAAGCAGAAGCTGGAGTTCTATGTTTTTTACTACCTAAAGAGTGAGGATTAAATTCTATACTTACATATAAAAGTACAAATAATCTTATTATTATACCATATATAACTGATAGAATGCTGGAGTTCTATTACAAAGCCAAATATGATACCGTATATAACCGATGGAATGCTGGAGTTCTATTACAAAGCCAAACAAAAGAAGTTAACAATGGTTTTTTTTTTTTTTTTTCAGTTTGGTAGTTGGGTTTTGGTTAGAATGTATGGTGGCTTCCAAATGATTTCAAGAAAGAAAAATGGAAATCGATTTTCCACCAATACAAAATTCAGTATACTCTTGAATAAAATAGGAACCAAGACAGCCTGCACTGCCCCATTTTCGATCAGTCCATACATTACGTATAAAGAATGCAAGGTCTAAAGGTTAGTGGTACCAATTTCAAGCAAAAATCTTAACGCATTAGGTGTGTCGAGATTTAACATCATTTAATAATCTTAATCAGGCCTGTTGATACATTTTGAGAAAAAAAAAAAAAATCTTATTCCCTAGAAAATTTGTCAATGATTTTAAATTTAAAGTTCGATCCAATTATTGAGGTTTGGTTTGACTGGTTGAAAATGAGTAAAATGGCCGGAAAGCTTAAGCTCCCACCTACCATGGGCAATAATGAGTAGGGTTTCCAGGATTGAACTTTCTTTCTGGGCCAAAAACTGACCCATGAAACACTATTGTCTTATTGCTGCGTTTAGACTTTGGACTAGAGAAAATCTTTTGGGTCATAACTGATAAAATTATTGAATTTGAAACAAACGCGGTGGAGGCCCAAAAGACACGAAGAAAAGCTTGATCCTGCCTTAGTGATCATGATTTGGGATTGAGACTACAATGGTTCAAACTTCAAATTAATTCATCAAAATAATGAAGGATAATTTCCATTTCAAAAGGTTAGATATTTCCATTTTCCACCTGCACATCTACTGTTGAAAAATGGTTTTCAAAGTCAATGCTTTCAGTTTGGAATTCATAGTTTCAAGTTAGAAATGAAATTAGGCTGGATCAAACAGTTGCAGGCGTGCAGCCCAACAATGTCCATTCTTAGTTATATTGTGACAGCATGTCTGCATCTGTAAACATACATCCCACCCACGCTTGTGAAAAACGATATTGCCGAAGGGTACATGCAGCTGTCAATTTCAATACAAGCAAAATTGGCAACCAAGACAAGAACACCTCACAGGTAACCCAATCAAAACCGACATATTTCCATGTCCGGTAATTGCCACATCCCCCCCTATCATTTTAACCAGGAACTAGATTCCTTGTAAAACATGAAAAACCCCCAGTAGAGACCAAAATCAGAGAAAAAGAAATAAAACTGTTGCAGGAAACACACACTACCAACAGTCGAAAACGACAACATCTAGCTCTTAGGGGGGACCTTGGTTTATGAAAATATAAAATCTCAATCCGATACAGGGGCATCAGCAGTAGCAGACATTTAATACTCCCAACTGACCCCCCACTTTGGGTTCTCTCTGTCTGGACTTATATGCTCCTCATCCAATCAATGCCAACCCCCCATTTGTTTCAATGGAAAAATAATTCCGCAATGCAAACAAAATTTTCAATTATCAATCTCACATTCATGATCATTTAGAAAAATTGTACAGAGTCACAGCTTTTTAGAAATACAAAAATAGAGCAGAATAATAAAGAAAGAACAACCAGAAAAATTCAACACAAATTTAAGGGAAACAAATACAAGAACCAAGAAATACAAGTAGTTTAGTAAGCGATTTATATGATGCAAATTATAATTTTCCCATTCTGTTAGTGGAATTCATCTTCTCAAAATACTGAGTTGAGAGGAGTGACAAACAGAGTTGAACCTCGTCCTTCCCCAACTGAGCCGCCTGTTTCGATTTAATAATCCGGGAGACGGAGCCCCACTTCGAAGACGAGGCTGAACCTGTTTGCGGCTTAGAAAGGGGCCAGACATAGAGGGAGTGCAGCCGACGGAAGCCACCGAGAGGGAGGACCACAGATCTAAGCTGCTGAGTGCCGTAGCCGATATCGGCCCAGTGCCTAGCGCAGATCAGCTCCCAGAGCCGCTCGTCCTGCGCCGTCTTGTGCCACAACTTGCTCACGCAGGCAGCCATGCCCAGCGACCTCGCATCCACATGCTTCAACACCTCGAACAACAGATTCTCGTCTAAATTCACAAACCCAGTTTCTTCATCGCCATCTTCTCCCACTTCATCCTTGATTTTCTTCACTTTAGTGTGGGTTCCGACAACCGGAGAATCGGGAATCGAACGCTTCATGGAGGGTGAAGGTGGGTTGTGTTAATTTCTTGATCAGATTGAACGGAGTGAATGAAGGAAATGGGAGTTGGTTTTGGGGTGTATCGAAGAGGACAAGTCTTCTTTTCTTTTCCTTTTCCTCTCTCCATCAATTGACATTTCTGTCCTTATTAATTTTACTCTATATAATTTATTACCGCCTTTGCCATTGAGAATGATTTTTTTTTTTTTTTTAATTCAGACGGGGAATTCGGGTTATAAAATTAATAATAAAAATATTTTTAATAAATAAGAGTTATTAAAGGTGTATTCAAATATTTTTATAGTCTAGATAACCTCAAAAAATCATTTTTGTTTGCCATTTTAGTGATTTTATTTGCTTAAATAAAAATGTCTAATTTAAGATAACATACTCAAACCTTTTTAATAAATAAAATTCTGTTTAGTTGGATTTGAAGTTATTAGGAGTATTTTTTTTATATTTGATAATTAATATTTATTACTGTGTTTCAATTTTTGAAAACTGTTTTTCATTATAAGGAAACATTTCTTAAAAAAAAAAAAAAATCATTTTGGGCTTGCAAAATGCAAACCCACTAAATCCAATCCCTCCAAATGTGCTTGGGCTTATCTAATGGCCCAAGTTTAACTTTACAATTATTTTGTCTTTTCTCAAATTTTAATTTTTTTAAAAATACTTTCTTTCCAATTTACTGAATTTTCACAGAGTTACAAGGACTTTTTTAATTTTTTTGAACAGCAGAGTTACAAGGACTTTAAAAATTAAAATTTGAAGACGTGTATCATATTATAAGGTCTACAACTAACGTTTAAGTGAAGTTGCTCTGATTTTAAAGATATTGAAAGATCATATTCTTTACGCCCTTTCCTTCTCTTGACATAGTCATTCTTATGCCATATAACATCTTATAGTCTTAAGAACGCTGTTTTTATATATTGTATTAATTTGTAGTTAGTAACAAGCTGAATTGACTGAAAATTTTAAAAATGTCAGATTGAATTCGCTATCTTGAAAAAGTTCTATTTTTTTATAACAAAAATTTTGTAATCCATCTGTGTGAACAAAGAAAATAGAATGTTGAAAATTCTAAACACGATCGCACCATCCTCTCTTACTTGAAGGTGCAGTCCTTGCTTTAGTATGAAACTTTCAAAAAGCTGTTGACACAACACAGCTAAGCTTTGCCAAGGAAAAGTGTTTCGAACAAATTTAGTATTAAATGCAAAACAATAGATTATAGATCCTTCGCTTATGTTGTTTGGGATTTCCTAACTTTATTTATTATAATATTTATAATTAATTTTATATAAAATTCAAATAAAATATAAAAAATATAATATTTTAACTTTAAAAACAAGAAAAAAAATCAACTACCTAAATAGTTTAGTGGTTATTTTTTTTCTTAAAAATAAGAAATTCTGATTTTAAATCGCATGATATATGGATAAAGTGAGATAAAAAATGA